AACTTGATTATTATGTTATAACAGTGTTTTATCATCATGGTACAAATAATGCATTGGAATTTTTAAAAACAAATATCTCGAAAACTATTAGCTTTAGACACTTTTAACAAGTAGATTTTTTTGTTGTGGAAATACGAGAAAATAAGATTTTTTGGTCAGTTGATGTAAACAGGGTAGCACAAAAAGGTTATGATAGGTTATTTACCGAAATAGTGCTGCAAGTGGCGCCTTCTAGAAGTTTGGTCATAAAAAATAACGGAAACGGAAAACCTTCCTATACCGAGTTTTATGCCAAAATCTGAAATACTTCTCAAGCAATAAAAAAAAACTGGAAAATAAAACCGTAACTTTGACACCCTGTATCTCGCAAACTATCAACTTTTGGACTAAGGTATGGTTAGGTCAATTCACATATTTTGGTCTGTAGTATCTTCAGTTTCGAGATTTCCCAACCTTTCGCAGACACCCTCCTAGATATCCAGGCTAACCATTTTTTTTTCTAATAAAGCAAATGGCATACATTTGGTGAAGGGGCCCAGAAGCGCTGTTAATCCAACACTCTCACTTTACGGTTTACCACAATACATTTCAGTGATGATTGACTTCTGCAAGACCTTAGACGCGGTTGACAATAAAATTTCTGTTGAGTAAGTTAAAGTATATTGGACTTTCTGACATTCCTCTTGAGGTTCTTGAAACTAATTGTAAACAACAGGTAAAGACAATTAGAGGTGTCTCTTTTTCTGTGGAGGTTTTTTTCAGGTGTCCCTCAGAGGACTGTTTTAGGTCCTTTGATGTATTTGATATATATTTTACTATACAATACACGGATAATACCCAACTTTCGTTTCGTTTTGACTTGTCTCTTCTGGATGAGATGTCATATAAAGTAAATTACGATCTTGTCATGGTAACTGAGTTTTGTAAGAGACACATGTTGAAGATTAATCCTTATAAGGGTACTTGAAAGAGACAGTATCGCATTGACACTCAAGAATGACCTCTTTCCCACGTACAAAATGTTGGTGTTATCTTTCACTTTAGCTTAAGATTTGAGAAATATTTGAGTCATCTATCGAATAGCACCTACATCAAATTAAGGCTACTTTATGGTAATAGATTCATTTTGAATGTTAAAACCCGAAAAAAGTTAGTTGAAATTTTGATAATTCCAGGGGGCGTTACATGGACTCTAGCGAGGAAACACGTGCATGCAACATACATACATTCTGGCCCCACCTTAGAGATCCGCCGGGTGGTACCTCCGCGCTCGGCTGCCAGGGACCGTCGACCACCTACGGACAATCACAGCATCCATGGCCAAGAGAAAAATTCTCTTGGGACGGGATTCGAACTCGCGCAGCGCACGGCCACTGATAAGGAGACGCGTAACGTCTACCACTACGCCTGGTATTCCACCTCATTATCTAAATAACGTGTCCGTGGAGATTTCTGTCTTTCAGAAGTAATTTTTATGATTTGAAATCCGGAGTAAGAGAGATACACGTTTATATCGTAACAAACGCGATGCGACGATTGTTATAATAAACAGGTTCGAAAATGAACCATAATACATTCATACACCTTCAGTAAGCTAATATACCCAATAATTAAATTATATGAGATACCAGAGAGACAATCCTTGCATCGTTAATGTCATCATATTCTATTCGTTTCTATTCACCACCTTGTTATCTGCGCAGGCGATTGTGCTTCAGTATGTAATTATTTCGAGGGAATCCTCGAATTAACAGATAATAAAGAAATAGCGAGAGCCGACCACGATGCTATCTGGACACCCCGCCGTGTTATCGTCCTTAAAACACCAGGGACATGCCTGGGTTCAAAATTTATCGCCGCCTCGGAAAATACTACGGTGCTTCTCTACTTGTAATATTTCAGGTGGTGCTGCTGAACAGCCGTGCAGAATCCTATAAAGTTGTTGTCTTCCGTTCACGTGATTTTCTTTACAATCACCTAGCACCTAGGTTATTACATACCTATGTTAAGTGTAATTATTTGGTGCAGTCCTGAAACACAGTATTGTTCTTTGAATAACTAGGACACAAACACTTATATAGTTCTAAAAGATACTACTGTTAGAATTTCAGTAGTATGTAATACACAGGGTGTTTATTTGAAAACTTCCCACCACCGATTTATCGAAAACCACTGATTAAAAGAAAAAACGCCAAACGACGTCAAAAGATTTGTCAAGAGGGACAGCTTTTTAACCAAAAACTACTTCACCCCCTTTTACCATCGGCCCCCCAGAATCATTCCCTTGAAAATTTCAAATGGGAAGGGGTACCGAGTAATAGCTTGTTTGAGAGGTCTTTCGAAGTCCTTTACTTTGACGTTTGATTTTTTTAAATCAGTTGGTTCGTTTTCGAGAAAATTATAAAACCTTTATTTATCTGACTTTGTTCAAAAGAAACGAAAATATCACTTTTTATTTCAATAAGTGTTCAAAATGTTGCCCGTTAGGGTTTGCCAAATCTACAATTCGCTTATAATTTAAAACGGAAACTACCAACATAAAAGGTAATTCGGAAGATTAGACGTGGCAACAACCAAATAACCCCAATCTTTTCCGCATTACTTTCATCAAGACAGATATCCTGGGCGAACTGTATTAATTGTTATATCTGTTTAGTTATTTGTTGATAAGGGAAAAAAGAATCTAATTTCCTGTCAGTTACCTTTGTGACAATCTTGGGATAGTGAAAATTAATTTATTGATTCAGTTTTTATTTCCGAAATGGGGTATTATATATATTTGGATATTATTTTCATTACTCCTCTACCAGATAGTTTGGATGAACTTCGTCAGCGCATCATCGAAAGCTGCCATGCTATCCCACAACATCATCTTGAAAATGTCCTTCAGGAATTTGAATATCGCCTACATCATTGTTTGGCCAATAACGGGCCACATTTTGAACACTCATTGAAATAAAAAGTGAAGAGAAATTAAGAAGCTGCTCATTTAGACGAAACATAGCCTGGGTCACCATCAGCGTCAACAGATGACTGGACATCATCGAGCTCCAATTCTATATTTTGTACTACAGCTTCTGGTGTGTATGTGGAAAAGTACCTCTGTACTGGTATTCGATGTGATGTACATGTTCACCCTTTTCTGTGATTAAGGACCAAACAGATCGTTGTCGAGATCAATAAATTGGCCATTCATTTTTAATGGACTAGCTGTCAGAAATGAATCTATTATTTGAGTAACACCTCTGACATATGGCAATAATGTATTTTCTTCAGCAAGTGTCATATTCGAATTTCGTGATTTTACTTCTAATGAACTCTATCTGGTTCCAGGAGGTAGAACCATTTGCAATGGCGAACTAGTTGCTGTAAGTTTTTTAAAGAGAAAAATCATTGTTAGAGCTTTAGTAGCTTACATTTGCTTCAAACATTTGCAGAAACCTATTCCCTGATGTAAACGTTTCTCTATGTAAGAACGTCTCCAGGCTGACTAAAATACAACTTATTCAAGACGTCACGACTTATTTGACTTACAAGTCTTTGATGATTGTGAATCGTCTACCAGACTTTTTACATCACACGGTCTTTTTTCTTCAGACAATTAATTGCATCAACAGTTTTGTTCGGTAGGTTAGTGGAGCTTTGGTATCTAAATCTATGACTTTCTTGGAAAGAAATCCAACAAGATTCTTGATATAACAAAATCTCGGCTGAAAAGGTACATAGGTTACGTATAACAAAATTATCATATATAAAATTACTGATTAGAATCTCGAAAACAAGTGGCATATTTTTCCTGATACGATTTAGTTAGAGTTAACTTATGAAGAAGCACGGCATAAATCAAAGTTGGCATGAAACCGATAAAATAATTATTTTCTCAGCAAAGGCGCGATAACTTAAGATAAAACCACAACACATGAAGGCTTTACTCATTATACCTTGCATCGTTCTAAAAAAAAATTAGTCACTTTTCTTGATAACATGGTTCAGACCACTTAGCAAAACTTAGGGCTCGAGTAGGATAGTTTCCTTTTAATAGTCAGGTAATTAGTTATTGACCGTCTTTTGAACTATAGTTATGTCTGATTGTCTGATAGTATATACGATATGTGGTTTCACGTAGTCAGAAAATACGTTTTATCAGCATGGAAACCTTACGATAAGTTTCAGGTATTACCTTATTCTTTTCGGTAATCATATCACCAAGGACATGATTTGGCACCTACTTGCCCACTCTATGTGAAACTCAGATAACCCGGCCTGGAGTACTGTTCACATCCCTAGCCCGGTGCTGCTCCGACTGCACTATTGGACGTCTCTCACATTGACGGGAGTTTGGCGAACAGACCTCTTTATGCCAATATGTAAACGGACTTTGTTCTTACGAGCCCTCCTCCATAGCCCGCTAGTCGTCTGATTTCTATTTTGATTTGTACATCAAAATCTAAGCAGTGCGACCGATCCTTCGTTCTAGTTTTTCTTGCCCTAGTTCAGTCCGTTTTCTCCCATAGCGCAGCCTCAACTGGATTATTTTCAGAATTTACAAAGCTCCTGGGCACAATAGTAACCTTGTTTCAAAGTTTTATCAAAACCAAAGCGGATAAACAGACAATCCGATGGAAATGACTGAGATAGTTTTTCATGATATACATGGATGGCATGTAACATCCATTTTCGAAATTTTTCGCGATTTACTTCATCCCAAACTGGCGTGGAAAGTAAAACTGTTTCAACAAAATGACCTTAGCTGTCGCTGTGTCTTCGCATATGATCCGTTATAAAAAGAAAACTACTGAGTCAGTCTACTTGACTAGAGTCTAATCATTGCAAAGACATAGTTTTAGTGCTGCCAGGCGATAAGTATCTCTGTCCATGTTCTAACGAGTGACGAGTTCAAGTTGATTCGAAACTTGAGCAAACCGGATGCAATGTCAACGACTATCATCATGGAATTTCATTTTGTAACTTAATCCGCTCTGGTTTTAATGAATTCATACCGCGTGAACCTGTTCTTCTTCTTCTCCTTTTGCTTTGCGTTCGATGCCATGTCCAGTCTCATTCTCGCAGATGTGTCTCAAGCAAAAATATGTTTAGCGGGTATTTAGATCGCCTTTTTTGTAGATTATTTCCTTAAGGTCTTTAAATAGTGATGGGCGCTTAGGCGTAGATTCTAAACTAATCGTCTACGTTTTCATATAAATAATATACACAACAGCAAACCTGAGTGAGTTTACCCAACAACGCTGAAAACAGAAATAGAAATGAATTAACTTTTATCCATGATCAGCTTTGGTATTCCCCTGATCAATTGATAAAGTGCACTTTACAATAAGTCAAGTCAAAAATAATATTGTTTAAGCCTGAACAGAAATACGTTTAAAGAGGCTAAGATACTACATACAGGGTGTAAACGCTATGGTAGTCATTATTGAAATGGGTAAAAGGGGAGGGGGGGTCAAAGCAAGTCAAAAAGTTCATATGACCCATGGTCCAGAAGTCAATAGATTTTTGTCTAAATGGGTTTATAGTTTACAACTTTAAGTGCTTTATATCGACCACAATCACAACAATCGTACTAATTTTTATAGTCTAATCTAAAACGTTTTTGAATTGGCTAAGCCAAAATTTGTAGTCAGTAAGTTTCATTAAATTAAATATCTAAAGCACACATGACAACAGCGCGTCGGTCATTCATCACTCTTATCGAACCGGCAATCGATCGCAAACGGTAACAGTAGTTAGTTATTGTTCGCGTACGTCGTCGTGTTTATTTACAATGTTCTCGAATCAAGAGTTCGCCGACATGTTGTTCGTTTACGGTGAAGCTCGTCAGAATTCAAATCTTGCAGCTCAAATTTATCGCAACAAATTTCGCCAACGGGTACACCCAGACAGAAGCACATTTGTACAAGTGTACCAAAGACTTGGAGATTTAGAAAGTGTTCAGCCCACTAATATTCGCACTCGTGAAAGACAGGTTACTGTAGAGCAGGAGGAAAAAAATTTAAATATCGTGGAAATCAATGCATATATCAGCACTCGGGAATTAGGCCGCCGCGTAAGACTATCGCATACCATATTCCATAGAATCCTATGGGAAAATTTGCTTTATCCCTACCATGTACAACGAGTGCAGGCCTTGTTACCAGAAGACTATCATCGCAGACTAACATTCTGCCAGTGGTTTTTGCACAAAAACATTGAAAATCAGGATTTTTTTAAAAACATTCTAGCGACGGACGAATGTACTTTTACGCGACACGGGATGTTAAATTTCTATAATAGCTGGGCCCAAGAAAGAAGGTCATTTCCAACAACGTTTTAAAATACATATTTGGGCGGGTATTCCTGATGATCAGGTAATTGGTCCTTTCGAGTTACCCCAAAGTTGTCAGGAGAAGGATACCTTAGCTTTCTAGCCAATAACCTACCAGAACTTTTAGAACAGACATTAGACAATATCCCATTACAACGGAGACAGAACTTGTGGTTTCAACATGACGGGGCACCACCACACATCTTTAGAGGCGTCATTCAGTATTTGAATAAATATTATCCAAATCGCTGGATCGGTCGAAATGCTCCTGATCCTCGAAAATGGCCAGCAAGATCTCCTTACCACAATCCGATGCATTTCTGGTATTGGGGAGAACTTAAAGGGATGGATTATGGGGCTGGTCTAATAACAACTGAAGCATAACTTCGCGAAACATTTTTTAATGCCGCTGAAATAATAAATGTACAACTTCGAGGACCTAGAGTAAGAAGAAACTGGGTTTGTCGTAATGGAGCTTGTGTGGAAAGTGGAGGACGACATTTTGAACACCTCCTTTAAATACAAAAAAAGTGCAGTGTGGGTGTTAAAAAGAAAAACAATGTATGTATCAAAATTGTGATCCCTATTTATAAGTGGATTTTTTTAATACGTTCAATAAACTTTCACACACCAGGTGAAGCGCTGAGACAGTTAGTGGTAAGTCTGTTTTTTTTAATTGTTTGCATTTTATGAGAACATTATCCAATAATGAAATAATACCTAAGAGCCAAAAATAACAAACTCCATCTTTATTTACACTGCGTTCCGTCGTAATTTGCGTCTGGAGTTGCGGCGTTGTCAGATTTTATTTTACTTTAAAGTCGCCTTTATCTAAAAAAATGCAGTTTTGACCCCCATGTTATATGAATGACTATCATAACATTTACACCCTGTATACACAACAGCATACCTGAGTGAGCTTGCCCAAAAACGCCGAAACGAGTAAGAGAAGTGAATTATCTTGTATTCACGATCAGATTTGTATTGAAAATGATAAAGTATACTTTACAATAAGTCAATTCAAAAAATAATATCCTTCAAGCCTGTACATAAATACGTTTAATTAAGCTGATAATACTACGAGTACATATACCACCGGGAGTGGGTAGTACCAATACGTTGCCTTGCAATAAATAAATACGGTCATTTCTCATATAGGCTAACCAGATGTTTAGTCTATGGACAGCGGGCGCTGAAGTTACTTTACCGTCCTAGAACAGTGCGCACACCGCTGCCTTTAAAAAAAATAGTAAGTGACAAATTGAAACGTGGCCGCTTCGTGACGATATCACAGTATGGGCCGGTTTTTCAATAGCAAGTTAACTGCAACTTGACTGCTAACCATATGTTAACTCTCAAAAAGCGTATTTCATGTTTTTCCTAAAGCGGACCATGTGCGGGATAAATATACAGTTGTCAATCCTCAATGTGTATCGTAATGTGCTTGACAGTGACAGGAGTTGTCATCGATGACAAGAGACACAAATCCTGAACATCACGAAGCACATAACACGATAATTCAGGCACAAAGGCAGCGTTGCCGCATCAACGATTTATCGATTGATAACTACATCTTGAAAAACGAATACACATGTAAGTGATAGTTGGCTTCGAAGTCATAGTCACCTAACTTGACAGTTAACTAGCGATTGAAACACCAGTCCTTAGAATTCCGTACCCCCTTGAAAAGGGGTGGCTCTCAGTAGAATCGACTGCAAAATAGCTACAAAGCTGGAGAAGCGTGAATTGTGGTTTTCCTCAATGCCTTTCCACGCTGAAGGTTAAAATCCCATAAAAAATGGAGGGAGTAGTGCCCAAACCAAAATAATTAAACGAAAGGAAAGATGCTACTCCATAAACTGGCGATTAGGGCCTAATATACCAGAATCTGGAAATGAAACAAACGACTCACGCCCAACAACCTCAACAGGAAGGTGACTGACACAAAACACCTAACTCTATCAAAGAAAGTTAAATGAGCGGCCTTGAAGATATGTGTGATAGGAAACCAAATATTCTTGTAAATGTTAGTGCGTACTAACGCAGGTTCCACTTTTTTCTATTTAGCTCTCAAATCATTCTCTAAAAAAGTCGTTTCGCAAAATTGTGTGTTTATAAACAAACAAATTGGTTGTCATCAAAAAACACATAGTAATTATGCGTGGAGATAGTGATGCGTACCCAAGTAAGCTATCACACTATTGAAATATAGCACGGAGAGTGTTCGTGAAAATGTTATATTTAACATTGACACGATTCAGACCGACTTACGATAGGATTACAAAGTGAGCACATCTCATTAAACATTATGTTGTCTTGTTGATGTGTTGTGCCTCATGCATTGTACAAATTGTCTTGCTCCCGCAGGTAGTGAGTCGATCTTCTCACTAAATTATTCCCTTATTTTCAACAAGCAATTTCTGACTATCAGAGACTATATACAATCCATCCATACGAGCTGCTGTGATATCATCTGCTATATACGTACAATCAGCGTATGATCAATATATTGAAAATATTCAGAATTCTTTAACAATTAACCCCAATGCTTTTTGGTCATACGTTCACTCCAAAAACAACACATCACGAATCCCAGGGATAATGAAATTTCAAAATAATTCTATAGATCAGCCTCAGGATATAGTAAACGCATTCAGTGAGTTTTTCAGCAGCGTCTATGTCACTCACAAGCCCCCATAATAATGCCTCACTAAATCATAGTACTTTATTTGTCCATTTTCATCCAATTGAGGAAAATGAAGTCAGGAAGGCCATTAAATCACTAAAGGATAAGATGACATCTGGTCTAGATGGCATCCCGTCCTTTATAGTCAAAGATTGTGTGGAAGTGTTTGTTGGTGTTCTAACTAGGATTTTTAATATTTGTCTTATAACAAAAAGATTTCCAGATATTTGGAAGATCGCTAAGGTCTGTCCAGTGTTTAAGTGTGGGGATAAGTCAAATATTGAGAATTACAGGGGAATCTCTATATTATGCATGTTCTCGAAAGTCTTTGAAATAGTCTTATACAGTCGCATTTACACTGCCGTCCAGCGTCAGCTGTCAGTGCATCAACACGGATTTGTCGCTAATCGCTCAACAACCACAAATCTATTTATAATAACGCAGTACCTCTCGAAAGCCATTGATAGTAATGAGCAAGTTGACGTTATTTATACCGACTTTTCGAAGGCTTTCGATAAAATTAACCACAAAACTTTATTAAATAAGTTAGGTGCACTTGGTTTCACAGATGATGCTAGGGAGTTGATGAAATCTTACTTATCCGATCGTAGACAATTTGTTAGCTATAATGGCTTCCAATATGAGACCTACTTGACACCTTCTGGAGTTCCTCAGGGGTCCAACCTGGGACCATTACTGTTTTTGATATTTATTAATGACCTCTGTGACTCAGTTGAATGTGAACGCCTATGCGTTGCTGACGACCTAAAAATTTATTCGCAGATAAATACTCCTGATGATTGTATCAAGCTACAACACCAATTAAATTTTGTGCTGTCTTGGTGTGTAGAAAACAAGTTGGAGCTTAATGTGAGGAAGTGTAAAATAGTCAGCTATACCAGGAAAATTAATGTTTGCGAATATCCGTACTCTATTGATGGGTCTGTGCTAGAAAGGTGCTCTGATGTACGTGATTTAGGTATAATCTATGATCAAAAGTTAACTTTTAGTCACCATATAAATAAAAAATCATCTGAAGCATTGGCGGCTTATGGTT